TGAAGCAAAGCTCTGAAATTTTCCTTTTGCTGATGTGTGAATTCTTCAGAGCATTAGATACCTATTGATTTATCAAGAGAGCTAATGCACGTGAAGGACTCTTCTAGCACCCAGTGGTGTGCTGTATGTCCCTGCATCCCAGGAAACTGCAATTGTATCTGTGCCGCTTCCTCTCACTGAGATGAGAGCCACCTCCATCTCACCTCACAGTACTGGGTGAAAGAAGATTTCTTCCTGCTTCCTTCCAAAACATGAAGTTATCAGATTCTTTAGGAATAAAATGTTTTTGTCTCTCTGACTTTATCTTCGGTGTGGAGTTAACTTTTAACAATTGAATTTTGTTTAAAAAAAGGTTTCTCTTTATATGCTTCTCTGGTTTGATGGAACTTGAATATAAGACTATGAAGTGATTAATTTGCACTTTGTTTTCTTGCATTTTTTTTCCCACTGCAGTTCTGGCCATTATATCAGGTTTACTTTCACTGTCCTTTATGCAGGAAAAATATTTCAATACATAGTACTTCCTGTGGTAAATTCTGTAGCCTGGACTGAAGATTGATACTGTTAATTTCTAAACAATCACAGCAGTTCCTTCTGCTTCTGAAATCTCTGAATAGTTTCTAACAGAGTATTGTTTAAAAAGACAATGCAGATTTATCTATTCTTCCTTTCTAAATTGGCTGCATACTCTGGCTACTTTAGAATCACCAGGTTCTGCCCCAGAGCCAGCTGCTTTGTTTAGCCCTTATCTTTGCTGTCTCTCAGGTCTGACAAATATCTCTTGGGGGAATCTTGCCAAGGGAGTTCAAGACAAGGTTTTTGATCCTCAGCTGCCTTAATTGCCCCTCAGCTGAAGGTTACCAAAGCTATGTATTTCAAGGATTTAGTATGTCTGACATCATAAAAGCTGGGTGAAAGTAAATAGGAATGGCTAAGACATGGGTTTGTATTCCTTTTTTGCCATTTTTCTAGGTAAATGGGTTCTTTTTCTCTGGCTCTAATAAATAGCACCTTAAACTACCTGATTATAAGTCCATAGCCTTATATATCAATTCAAGGTCCTGTTTGGGGAAAAAATACCTGCTTTTATCCAGCCCAGAGGCAACTCCTTAATATTGTGTTGTCTTGCAGCTTTGTCCTAGGTTAAAGTCTCAGTGAAATGCTGTGGCATCCTTCAGGAAGAAAGTTGCTTTCAGGACATGATATAAATTATGTAGTTATGCAATGTATACAGATAACCATTTAAATAATTATGATGTGACCTTCCATATCTCCTACAGATTTTGCTCTTTCCAACCTGCTTTGAAGTTGAAGGGGATAACAGAAGAGTCCCTGAATATAAGGTAAAAGACAGGAAACATTGGATAACTGTAGATGTGTGCAATTATGTGAATGTTACATCTTAAAGAAAGCATCTAGAAACTTACCTATTTGTGCCCCTTAGTTTAAAGATTCAAAGGTGTCCCCAGAGCACTGAAAAGCATTCTAGTGTACAGCATTGACAGTATGAAGACATGAAGAATGTGCTGAATAGCTGACTGTGCATAGTTGATTAATAACTATTACATCCTTAATATGACTTTAACCATCTGTGTAGAGTTTACCAATAATGTGGGAAAGAAACAGTCAGTGAGGTGAAGTTAGAGCTAACCCATAATGGTTCTATGTAATGGCCTCTTTATTGTGTGGTCAGGGCAGACAGTGGTAGGTGCACACATGGATGTTTTTGCATGTTACAGTAACTGCAGTGGAGATTCCAACTTGTTGTCCATCAGATTTCCCACTGCAAGGGAAAAAAAAAGTTTTCTCCTAGTGGGGAGGTGATTAAGAGCATGTTCCATGCTGACCATGAGTTACTTGCATACCTGTAACTCCTCTCAATTTTGCTATCTGAGGAACACAACCTTAAGGGCCTAATTGATGTCCTCTGAAATGATTGTCTGGAGGCTGGAATACCATTGAGACTTGAGCAGCGGATTGCCCCTGTGAGTTGTTGTGGCCTGTGTCAGCTGTACTCTTTAATTTTCACTCTACCTTTGTAGTTCTTTAGCTGTCTTGTAAGTAAATATTTTCACCTGAGTACCAGCTATCAGCTTGCAAAAAATATCAGTGTAGTATGCAACCAGCTCTGACTAGAGCCTAGTCTATGTCAGAGGTGTAGGTTGACTGTATAGAGCATGACGTGCATTCTGTGTGAAGTAACCAATAACTCACCCCAGGGTTTCTGTTCCCTGTGCTTGCTGGGTGCTCAACAAGTGGGAACATCTTGAGATAAGATGCAAGGTGGAGGAACTTTGGGCTTTAGCTGGGCTTGTGATTATTGTGAGAAACACTTGACTAATGTTTGGTCTCACAGATTGAAGCGGGCTGTATGTCTAGGTCTAAAGTAGCCTGTCCTGAATCCCATAAGACTCTGCCTTCAGTTTTACTCAGTTGGCTGAGAGAGGACCCTGTGCACCTTACTTTAAGAAAGTAAGGGGCTTTTGGCATAGCTGGGCCATGTTGAAGCATGAGCTGAAATAAAATAAATGTAAGATAGTGCCACTGCCTAAGTAATGATCCCAGAAAAGTTGTGCTTGAGTGGAAAGTGAAAGAAAATGACCCCAGTGGGCATGTTTCTATTTACCAAGCTCTAGTCTGGGAACTGGAGGACTGAGGACTTGAGTTTAATTTTCCCTCGTTTGAATTCTAGAGCTGCTTCTGAGTTAGAAAAATTCAAAAGCAGCACAACGGGCTCCTTCCCCATCTAGGAGGCAACGCCCATCTTCCGTAGCATCCCAGTTTTTCCTGCCCTACCTGAGACAGGGAGGCAGGCCAGACTAAGCTCTTTGCCCCAACACACTATTAGAAATTGCACAGCTGAAGCACGGAAAGAAGACATTACTAGTTTGAATGTATCATGTGACACATTTCTGGGAAACGCCACATTGGTTTTTGCACCTAGTCCATAGGAATAATACACAGGAGTTCTGCATCTTGGACTCTGCTGTAGCCATTTAAAAATTATAATGGGCAGTTACTGGACAACTGGGTACTTTACCCCTGGCATTTTATTCTTCATTTAAATTTGCCTAAATGTTTACTGTCACCATATGTTACTATGGCCACAGCCAGAACCTCTTCTCACGTCATGCTTCACTGCTTTTGTAATTTGCCCATTGCTTGTACCTGTATATTGCTGTTTGCAGGCTGTCAGCACTCTCTGCCCTAGGGAAGTGATTTGAGCAATTGAATGTGTGTGCTCAGGTGCGCATGTGCACATGTGAACAGAAAGCTAAAAGTACTGTGAGGACACCAGACCTGATGTCATCAATTCACCAGCTGACTTGGATCACGGAAGAGGGTGACTCTTCTTCTCTTAGTCATTACTTAAGTGATCCCAGGACCCTTAAAAAGAGCAATCTTTCCCCTAGCCCTTCTCCTTTCTGTACCTCCCTTGGAGGGAGACTCAGAGGCCGACAAAACACAATGAGTATAGGTAAATGGTACTATTACTGTCATGCAAGTTAGAGATCCCTGCACCTGGCTATAGCACCCAAAATCCCAAAGAACTTACTTATGCAGAGCCTGGCCCCTTGATGGCCAACAGGATCACTGGTTGTTCAGCTCTAAGCACCATGTTTTCACTGCTTAGTTATTCCTGAGCACAACATTTGTCTCTGCTGAATTGGAACGGGTTCATGCGTTCTACACCAATAGTGCCTATCTGAGATTCTCTGAGGGGCTGGTGGCAGCCACCAGCATCAGAAGGTTCCCAGGTCTGTTCCTTTTCATCCAAATGGTACTTACTGAGACTAGTTTAACTGTATCTCGCCCTATGAAAGTGAACAAAACTGGTGTTTGGGACACAGTGGTGGGAATCTTTTTGAAGATTCCTTCGCTGGACACATGCACACAGAAAAGACCAAAAAATCATAGAATTTGGGTTGGAAGGGACCTTAAAGATCACCTAGTTCCAACCCCCCTGCCATGGGCAGGGACACCTTCCACTAGACCAGGTTGCTCAAAGCCACATCCAACCTGGCCTTGAACACTGCCAGGGAGGGGGCAGCCACAGCTTCTCTGGGCAACCTGTTCCAGTGTCTCACCACCCTCACAGTAAAGAACATCTTCCTAATATCTAATCCAAATCTACCCTCTTTCAGTTTGAAACCATTACCCATTGTCTTATCACTACACTCCCTGTATTCCAGTAGTCCAGGTGAGGTCTCACCAGAGCAGAGGGGGAGAATCACCTCCCTTGACCTGCTGCCACGCTGCTTTTGATGCAGCCCAGGATGCAATTGGCTATCTGGGCTGCAAGTGCATATTGCTGGCTCATGTTCAGTTTTTCATTCAGCAGAACCCCCGTCCTTTTCTGCAGGGCTGCTCTCAATCCACTCATTGCCCAGCCTGTATCTGTGCTTGGGATTGCCCCAACCCAGATGCAGGACCTTGCACTTGGTATTGTTGAACTTCACAAGGTTGGCATGGGCCCACCTCTCCAGCCTGTCAAGGTCCCTCTGGATGGCCTCCTTTCCCTCCAGTGTGTCAACCTCACCACACAGCTTGGTGTCGTCAGCAAACTTGCTGAGGGTGCACTCAATCCCACTGTCCATGTCACCAACAAAGACGTTAAAAAGCACTGGTCCAAATACTGACCATCGAGGAACACCACTCGTCACCGGTCTCCACTCAGACATCGAGCTGTTGACAGTGACTCTTTGAGTGCAAAAACCCCCAAAGAACCCAAACATGGATATCATGTTCTAGGAACAGGCCCAGATGGAAGGTCATTCCTTTCCCAAATGCACCCTTTCCCGAATATGCATCTGGTTTAGTTGTTTTGGGCTTCACTTTAGAGACCAAACAGATCTGCTACTTCTAAAACTGAGTAGATCTTTAAAGGAAGAGAACTGCAGAAAAAGGGAGGAGGAAGGAGATCCATTTTTTATTATCTTGAGCTGGACTTCATGGCACATGGTCTGTAGAGTGCCTTGGTATATTTCAGGAATGTTTACCTCTTAATCTCCATTCTTCTTGGTTTTCCTTTGCAGAGGAATTGGGTGTAAGGAGTAAAGGGAAAGTTGTCTTCTTTGTGGGGCTAGATGTCACACTCTTTAACTTGTTCAGCTTGTCCCTCTCATCCTGACACATCTTCAGGCAGGAAGAGCATAGGTCTTTCTCTTGTACTAAGTAAAGCGTTTCTATGTGTTTAATGATGTCAGCATGCTCTTCTTGCTTTGTTGAATCTGGGAAAGGGTTTCTTTTTGCATTCAGTTTCGTGAGCTTGGGGAGCTTTCTCACACTGTTTGGGATGGTGGTCAAGGCATTGTCGAAGAGACCTATCTCCTGAAGTTCCTTCAGGGCCCCAAGACTGGTGGGAATACTGTCAAGACAGTTCATGCCAAGGTTGAGAATACGCAGATTCTTGAGAAGGTTCAACTCTTCTGGCAGATTTTTAGTGGTCAGCTTGTTGTTGCATATATTCAGGTAGAAAAGGTTCTGAAGTGTACCTATTGCCTCAGGCAGTTCCTCTAGCTGATTACTATGCAGGTCCAGCCAGCGCAGTTTCTGGAACTTCTGGATGCTAGTTGGAATCTTTTTTAACATGTTTCTGCTCAAATCAAGTTCATCCACATCATCCAGTTTCAGAATACACTTGGGGAAGGTGGTGATACCCATCCGGCTTAAGTCAAGACGGCGCCATCCATCAAAAGATATCCGGATGGAATTTTTGGCAGTTTTCAAGGTGATCTTCTTCCCTTTTTGACCTTTTGCTTTCCCCTTGGCCATCTCTCCACTGAGACAGACAGACACACCAGACTCTGGATAAAGTGTGGAAACTCCAGTAAAGCCTTTGAAAGCTGTGGCTGTTGCTCCTTAATTAAAAACAAAATAATCACATAGTTATAAATTAACATGTGACTGCTGGACTCTTCAGAAGTTTTATTTTAAGGTCAGGACTTTTCAACCATGAAGCTGCAAATCTGAAAGTGCTTCCTGAAAGTATTTTAAGTAGAAGAAATCCTAATAACTTCCCATATTATTTTATTGCATTGTAACACCTATATTGCATTACAGGCTGAAATTACAAGTGGCAGAAATTTGCTGTCTTTCATTCCTAGATAACTGATTTGAGCTCAGGATGTAATGAAACTGAATGAAATGTGTTACTATCAGCCATTTGATGAGCAAAACACATCGTGTGTCTCGATCCAGTCCTTGGGGACTGCACTAAAGAAGCTATCCAAAATTGTACTTATTCTACCAGACCAACAAGTTGCCTTCTTTAGAGGCCTGGCATCTGTTGACAGGTTGGTTAAACATCCTGTGTAATGGACCTGAGATTTGGGCTCTGGATGCTATTGAAAGATTAAATATTTAAAACAAATTACTAAGAGTCTTGTTTTAACCAGGACCATCAGGAACACAGAGGGCTCCCAGATTTGCCCGGACTGCTTGCAGTTCATCCATCACCTGCAGGGCAGACTGCAACAGCGGGTCTGTGTCAGTGCTGCTTAATGGCATGTTAAACCAAGCCTTTGCTACGTGTCTCGTGTGCTTTCAAGGACAGACTCTGGATACTCTAACCTTGTCTTTCCATCCATGCTCTGGGATAGATGGACTCCCTCTGCAAAGGTGCCTTGCCCTCAAAAAATATGTGTAGGTGTTTTGGTCAGACTTTTGACTCATACAGATGCTCAGCAGGTGCTGCATATTTTGTCGAATTGAGGCCTGTGTAAGTAGTAGTCCACTGTAGTCTAACGTTTGGTGAACTATCTCTCTAACCAAAGGTCATCAAATACAGCTGCTAATTACGGCTAGTGACAAAGAAAATAGGCTTATTCCCTGGAAATGGATGACAATGTCCCAGTCAGAGCACAGAGAGGAGCATGGGTTATAGCTGGCTAATCTCAGAATGGCCCGCGTGCTCTGGCATTTAATTGTGAAGAGTCAAATCGCAGCTTTGATGAATGGTTGTTTGGGACAAAATATGGATTTGTCTACAACACATTTCCCTATTAGAAAGGCCTCATTACAAACCCTTCAGGCTTTTTGGTTACTCATTAATCATGTGCAAATACATGAAGGGGAAGCTCAGGCTACAACTAAGGCATTTCAGCTCCTTTTCAATTACATGCCACAGCCAAAAATAATACAAAAGAAAGGGGGATCTCTGCCAGTTACCACCCACCCTCCCAGAAGCTCTGTAATAAGGCAGATGCTTCAGAAAATCCTGGAAGCAGCACAGTGGGGTCAGTCTTGCCCTGAGGGTATGTTCCAAAATTGAATCTCTGTTATTTTATATAAAAATATTTAAACACAGTTAAATCTTTCCATGCCTGTCACTCCCACGTTTCTGTCCCTCATCAGTACATACAGGGCATATGACCATTGTACTTGAAGGACTTTCACTCTTTGCTGTATTTAACCTTACTGTGCCCCAGGGGCAATACCAATGCTATTACTTCCATAGTGTGGACTGGTAACTGAAGCAAAGTACTCCACAGTGGAAGATTAAGCACTTTTTCCACCTTCATTGATGTTAGCTTAAATAATTTGCCCAGGAGCAGGTAGAAAGCTCTGGAGATCAAAACAACAGTAGATTTAATCACAGTTCATTCATTTTAATGATTTGATGCAATATTCTTGTTGACAATTTTATGAAGTTCAGTTGCACGGGAAATGCCAGAACCCTACTGCTGGTACAGGACACCCCAAGGCCCTTATTGGTGCACAAAGGGTGACTACCATGGTTCGGAAAAAAGTCTGAAGGGCAGCCTCCTTACACTTTGGCAGGATGGAAAGAGACTTTCTGCTTCCTGCAGTTGGTGTGAACCTGGTGACTTTGGGGTCCAACTTCATCTTTGTTTGAATTTTGTGTTGGATAAGTTGGCAAACATTCAGTGCATTTTGATCAGTGAAGCTTTTCAGCCAAGTATACCTTAAAAAAAATTAAAGGGACTCTCAAAGAATTTTTTTTTTCTAAATTCAAAATGGTGATTTCTTTTAAAATGCTTTTTAAAACACTTTTTAAAACGTCTTTAAAACTCTCAGAAAGAAAACATTTTATTCAGTTCCTAGTAATTTTTTTCTATTACTTTTCACTTAAAACCCAATGGGTAAACATTGATCCAAAACAGTTCCCTTTCTTAAAAATACCAGCTAGCCGAAAAATCAGTCTGTTCAGCTGTCTGTTAACGCTGATTGCCGGTGCTGGTGTCCCTCTATGCTGTGCGTGCCTGGGAGCACTAGAGGGAGCCTGGTGTACAAGGTTGAGTACTGGAGGCTTGTCAGGAACAGTACGGTTTAACCGTTTGGGTTTGGTCACTTCTGTCAATAACCTTTGCCAACATGTTACAAAGTGTGAACCTAGACCTTTCAGATTTTTAAGAAGTCCAAACAAACAAATCAGTGTAATTTTCTTGAAGATAGATCTCTTTGTATGATGCATTGGATAATGCCCAGACTTCAGAGAGATTTAACCGCCTCCTTTGGTTGGATTTTTTAAAATCTTACTGTGGACCTCTAAGACACACTGATCAGGAAAGTATGAGTTCCTAGGGAGTGCTCACACTTTCCAAGCACTATTTCCTTTGGGTTAAAAGTTGGAGCCATGTTTCAAACTTACAAAAAGGTGATTCGCAAGCCCAAAGACAAGGGTTAGCATTAGAGATCTGCAGAAACACCTCAGTGCACCAGACAGCTTGAAGGGGATGAACAGTTCTCTTGTCTCTGCATGCTTGTAAACTAATTACCAGTGTTTCACAGGGCTGTAGCTAGAGATAATGGAGCTTACTTAGCTACATCTCCTTTTCTTTAGCTCTGCATAGGAGGGCCCCAGTTCTGTAGCCACTGATATTAAAAATTCAGGAATTGCAGGAGCCCTCCTTGCTGTAAATGTTAATTATGCCTGTTTGACTTCATGCTTGCAGTGCTTCTCCTCAGGTAGCAGAGGGAGAGGTACTTATGTTACCCTACTACCTAAGGAATGATGGTGACAAAAGGGAACTCTTTACTCATTTTCTTTAAACCCTCACCCCACTCCCAGGTTCACCCTCTGAGTTGCTGGCAAGCCTTTGCCCAGGGGTGGGGCTGCTGCATTTCTATGTATATAAGGTCTCACTAAATTTCCCTTTTTATTCACACTTGGTAAAATCTTCGATCTGGATTTGGGGTTTGAAAACCTATGGCTAAGCCCAGAGCTTTAGGAGTGTTTCACAGGCCCAGACCTTTGAGGCTGACCTGTTACAGAAATGAGTAGAAAATGTGTGTTGAGGGCATCATGCTGTCTGTGGTGCTCTGTGTTGCTGGGAGCTGCAGGGAGGGAGCAGATGTTGAGCATCAGGACTAGGACTGTCAGTGTCTCTCTGAGTCAAGGAAGCATTGGAGATTACTCCTTACCTCTACTTAAGCGCTTGCACAGGACTCAGTCATGGCCCCTTGTAGGTTAAGCCTGTCCTAACGAGTTTCAGTTCTAGAAGAATACAGATTTGGAACCTGATGATGCAGTCTCTTCTACCTGAACCTTTCTTTTTCCTTTCTCAGCATAGGGCTGGCAGGAACAGAACAGGCCTCCTGCCTGTGACATTTTCAAGTTATTTCAGGACCTCCTCCTCTGTGGTTCTGCCTGTTTGTTTCCTCCCATAGGTTGCTGATTTCTACTTCACTGCACCTAAAGCTGTGCAGAAGCATCCTCATCCCATTTTCAACTAGTCTGTAAGAAAAGTTTTCTCAGTCTTTCCTCCTGGAAGTCTGTGTATTGCAAAGCAGGCTTGCCAAGCCCAGCAGAGCTACACGTGCCCTGCACACCTCTGTGGGCAAGAAGGCAATGAGGTTACATGTTCTAATTCACCCATTTAGTAGCTCTATGTGTTGCAAATCTGCAGTGGGTAAGAAAAACTTATCTGTACAAAGTTAGGTAAGTAGAGCCGTTCTTTATTATCGATGCATACCATGCGCACTGGGGACATGGGATCCTTCCCAAAGATGTCCACCTGCACATTGCAATCAACAAATATTTATATATTAAATTCATACATATTTACTCTATACAATGCCTATTCGATTTCATCCTCTCAATGATTGATTCTTCTTTCCTTGCTTCTGATGCAAATTTGTGCTCAGCCTCTGTCATAGTCTTATAGTATTCTCATTTGAGTAGGGGGTATAATTTGGGTAGGTGGACCATGAGTCGGAGGTCTCAACCACTCCTCAAATTGACCATGTTTGATCAAGAAACATGTCCTTGGCTAACAGGCTCTTGGCTCGTACCTACTTTGGTCGTGATTCAAAGATTATACACAATGGGTACCATAATAAATCCTGTCTAGCAGACATCTTGGACTACAACATACTGTCCTTGTTTCTAACCCATAATAGATCATTGGTTAATGAATACCTTGGGTCTGGAATTTTATAGGAGTATGCTAGCAGCATTGGCAATACAGATTTTATTTTATATTTGATCATTTATTCCATTTTAGACTTATTTTCCCAATATAATCATTAGTCTCTCCTATTGATATCCACGAATTAAGATTCTTGATATTCAAATCAAGATGGGAAAAGCAAGGGGATTTCTAAGCAGTATCCTAAAATCCTAAATCTGGTGATTGCTGCAACATATGGAAATACTTTCCTATAAATCTTATAACCATCATTTGTACACCGAAGGGTTTTGCATGAAGCCAAGTAGTTACAGCTAGGGTAGGTTTTTATTTCCCTGCTTACAAGCCTGTTACCATTTCTTTATTGTTGGATACGATCTGTTGTGGAAGAGAGATTAATTC